AAACTTACTTCTTTGAATGCTAGTGAGGTTGTCTGTGCTTGTCAATTGTCTACTTGTGTGTACAGCTTTGCAAGTCTGTTCACAGGTTGGTGAGACAGGGCCACTCACACACTTGCCCTAAGTTCCTGCTTTCTTGGTGATGTGGGTTGAATCATGTCCCCCCAAAAATATGTTCTCAGGAGTTGTAGGAGAAAGAAACATGGTGGGAGAGGTCACTGTATGGAAAGTTCAAGTTATATAATGACAGACATTTGCCAGATGCTCTCCAGTCTTAATTCCTCTTGCTGAACACACAGGAAGCCTGCATTTCCTGGCCTCACTTGAAATTAGGGAAGGGTCCTATGTCTCAGATCTGGCCAAGGAAGCTTGAGTGCAAGTGATCTAAATCCACTTTTGGCCTTGCCCTTAAAAATGTCTCCAGCAAAACTTTGACTTTCCACTTTCTCCTTCTGGAAAATTTCAGAGGTCATATATTTAGCACGCAAGGCCTCTGGATCCTAGAGTTTCTGCCAAAGAGAACTGTCCAAACTACATTGGATGAGAGTGAGCAAGAAGGACCTTTTATTGTATCAAGTCACTGAGCTGTTGGAATTATCCATTATAGCAGCTAGTGTTAATGACCCCACCTAGCACATATACCTGAAGGCTCAGGGATGGATGATGGAAACTCAAGAGGAACTAATCATTTGAAGGAAAGATGTGCTCAAAACATTGGAGGCAGAAGGAGAGGTTCTGAGGGAGTAAGGGGCCTGGAGCTTAGGTGTGTACATCAGAAAGCACTGAAATACATATATTTTGGAGTTAGAGTAACTTCAGGGTCTGGGGATAGAATTGCAAGTTGGGGGAAAACGTGGTGAAAGATCATGAAGGGTAAATCACCCAAATGGAAGGATAGAGGAACCATTTCTAAATAGATATCCTTTTGCATGTCATCCTTGTGCAGGGGCCACGCTAATCTTCTCTGTATAATTGCAGGTTTTTAGCATGTGTGCTGCCCAAGCGAGCACTAGATAGATATCTTTTTAAACTGCCTTAAACTTAACATGGACGTGCTTGCTCATCTTCATGTGTGTGCCCTAGACCCAGAGTTTTCAACTCAAAATCATAGCATTTTGAATACTTACGAATACTTACTAGAGTAAAAAATACTATTTAGGCAGTAATGTTTACATGGTAATGGAGTATCATGTTTTGGTTAAGGAGTTCTCCTTAATAATAATTAAAATAGTAAAATATTAAAAATTCATAATATATTTATTTTATATTTATAATTATGAGATATTTTTAAAAATTAATAATATAAAACATTAAACAAATTAATAAGAATTATTTGTTAATTTAACGTAAACCCAACTTTTATAGGATGTTGAACCCTTTGTGGAATGTGGCTGCATGCAAGTTTCATCATACCATAGGGCGGTCAATCATGCAGCCCAATTTGCTCAGCCAGTTCTAGTTTACATTTATTGGCCCAGCTTAACTATTAATGGCACCCATTTTCACATGCAAAAAGTGTCCTGATGGTCAATCTGATAAATATTCAAAGACAACAATTTGATATGTCTTGAAGTTTGTTTTAATTGCTAAGCTAAGTAATTATTGAGTGCAGTTATGATGTTAATGAGGCTTGAACTTTTAATACTTTGAAATGTGCTTTAAGGTTTCATCATGGTATAATTTGCATATGAATTATTTTTTTAAACTGTGAGCCCATTGTACCTCCCTGGCAGTTTTAGGACATTTATAGAATAGGCCACCAATCTTTGAATGACTCAATTTCCAATTAGCGGGCAAGTGGGCTTTGTGTGTGCCTTACCTTATTATTTTTTTTTTTTTAAAGATTTTATTTATTTATTTGACAGAGAGATAGAGAGCACAAGTAGGCAGAGTGGCAGGCAGAGGGAGAGGGAGAAGCAGGCTCCCCGCCCAGCAGGGAGCCCGATGTGGGGCTCGATCCCAGGACCCCAGGATCACGACCTGAGCCGAAGGCAGCTGCCTAACCGACTGAGCCACCCAGGTGCCCCTGTGCCTTACCTTATTTCCAGCTCTCTCCAGCAGTGGGATATACACAGGGACTCATTCTGGACACAGATCAAGAGAATATAGGCCCCAAATACCCTAAGAGGGGGCGTTACTTTCTATTGGGAAAATCTTAATATTGGTGCTATTTTTTATTATTATTCATTCTAGTCTTTCTTTTCAGTTTTAATTGGACAATTCATTCCTGAAACTGTACATGAGGAAAAATATTTCTACTTATTGAGGGAAACAGACTCCCCTGTTACCACACAACCAGTCCCCAGAAGGACTTCATAAGTAGGCCACTGCTGTATCCGCCCATAATCTGAGTTAGGAAGATTAGGCCTATGACTAAAGTTGTTTGGCATTTTATTAATGAACACTTCTCTGATTATAAAATGGGTACATGTTTATTGTTGAAAAGTCTGACAATACAGAGGAGTATAAAAAGGAAAAATGATTCAAATTTTAACACATTTTATTTATTTGACAAATACTATTTTTGTGCATTTTTCAAGTTTATTTTTCTATACAAAAATACAGTTTAAAAACATTTTTGGGGGGACACCCAGGTGATTCAGTCAGTTGAGCATCGGACTCTTGATTTCGGCTCAGGTGATGATCTCAGGGTTGTGAGATCAAGCCCAGAGTGGGGCTCCGTGCTGGGCGTGGAGCCTGCTTAAGATTCTCTCTCTCCCTTTACCTCTGCCCCCACCTTTTCTATAAAATATATATATATAT